GGCCCTTTGCTGGGGGGGCTGGAGCGGGCCAAGGAGGGGGCCAGGGCCTCGGGTGAGGCCGGGGGCCGGGGCTAAAGCCTCGCCCTCGGTGCTGCCCCTTCTGCGGCGTGCGGGTCCCTCACCCTCCTCTGGGCCCTTCCCGGTGCTTGGAGCCCCTCACCGGTGTCGCCCCTCCTGCGTTGAGCCTGGGCCTGAGCCCTCTTGTTTTCCTGGTGTGAGCCGGGCGGTTTCCATCCAGAGCTTTTTGTTTACCCGGGCTGGTGGAGACCAAGGCATCGCCGCGGTCTCTGGTGGAGCCCCGAGGCGCGGCGTGGAACCGGGCCTGCCGGGGGAAGGGGGTTTAGGGGTGAAGCGGGGAGTGTGGCGCTTCCCAGGCTGGAAAGGGGGCTCAGCTCTCCCTGTGCTTCTCCCTGCGCTTCTGAACAGCTTCTTGGCAGGGATGGGGAGCGCTTGGCGGGGGAAGGATCCCAGTTGCTTCTTCAGCATCCCTGCCCGATGCTGGGTGAGCTGAACCCCTGGCCTTCGCAGAAGGGGCCGTTCGGGGCTCGCGTGATCCTCTCGCGGCCACGGTCTGGATGGAGCGAAGGAGCCCGGCGTGGGGAGCGGGGCTTTTCTCCTCCGGTTAGTCGTCCACTGGCCTTGAAGCGAACGTCCCGGCCCGTAAATGGGGCAGCAGGACGTGGGACGGACAGCTGGGGCGTTAGGTCAAAGCAGCGAGGAGACGGCTGCTGGTGCTGGGCACTGCAAGGAGTTCACCTGGAGCCTCTCCAGGCCTTGTGCTCAGGGTTATTTGGCCTGTGGAAATAGAGAGGAAGGTGTTTTGTCCCATTTGAAAACGGTTACCGCTCCACGTGCCAGTGTTTGTAGGAGTCAGCTGGGAGCAGAGTGCGTGGTTTGCTGGCTGCACGAGGCTGAGTGTGCTCCCTGTGCCTTCATTTCTCTGTCTGCGCTGTGCTTCCAGGGCCCCTTCTCTCCACTTGAGCATGAAGAGCGCCCGCAGCAGTTCCTCCTTCCAGGGCGCTGGTTCTGCCGGCGTGGATCTGAGCCTGATGGGACTCCCTGCCCCGGTCTCGCGGCGCCCCAGCAGCGCTTCTCCTGCCAAGCACATGGCGCGCTCCGTCTCGGTCACCGCCGATGGCAAACCGAAGAGGAACGCTCTGGTGAGTCCTGGGCAGAAGTCCTTCATTCCTGCGTGCATCCTGCTGCTCGGGGCAGGGAGGCGCATGTCTATGGGCTATGGGATGCCTCCCTGCGTGCCCGCTCTGCCGGCTGCGCTGATCCCGCAGGCTGAGCTTTGAAGCGCAGCCCGGGGCGGGGGGTGGCACTGGGGAGGGTCCTGGCTCCCCCCGGGAGCGTGTGGCAGTGTGGCACAGCCGCGTGTTTGTGGGGAGCAGCTGCACCGTCGTCGGGAGGGGAGAATCAGGCTGGCCCAGGTGCTGGCTGGAGCTGCAGCTCTGCGTGCTGCGGTGCCACACGCTCTCCCCAAATCCATTTGTCCTCAATGATTGGCTGCTCGTCAGGTCTCTTCTCGACCTTTAACGTACACAGAAGGGCAAGCAGGAAAGAGTCAGGCTTCACCCTTTTCCCTTCCTTGCCCTTCACCTCCCTGCACTGATTTCCTTCTGGAAACTCCCTGGTTCCTGGTATCTTCTGCCAGATGCTGTGGCGCTTTCAGGCCCAGCCTGTGCCTTGCCGAGTACCCTCTGTTCCTGCCGGGCTCAGCAGAGCTGGGGCCTCGGTGTCTCGCTGAGTGGGGGTTTCTATGGGTGTGTTTTCAGCAGAGTGAATGAAGCCCAGGTACTTCCTGGGCTCTGTTCAGATCCAGTAGTGGAGAGTCTCTGCACTCTTTGCTGAGTAATCCCTGCTGCCGTGGCAGTCTTCCTTCGTGCTCGCTCCCAGGGCAGGTAACGAGCACGGCCCTTCTGGGCTGGGGAGCTCACACAAACGAACATGTTCCTGCTGGCTCAGCAGCAGCGTGGGAGCCCGAGAGGGAGCGAGGTGTCATGGCACTCTGCCTCAAGGAGAGGCTGGCAGCCGTGGGGATGTCAGAAACATGGTGTCGAGGCTGTGTTGAAGGGGGTGGAAGGGTAGCACCGCCAGCAGTGCTATTTTAGGATGCCTGACTCACAGGGGGAGCCTGCCTAGGCCAGGCATCCCAGCTCTGCCTTAACATCGCTGCTGAATTTAACGCTCTCCTCCGCAGGAAGATGCGGGATCCCGGGCAATGAACAACCTCCGGAGGTCCAACAGCACCACCCAGGTTAACCAGCGGGTGAACAGCACGCGCAGGTACAGCTCCAGCCATTGACCCATGTCTGTCTGTCCCATGGATGGGACTGTGTGAAACCCCACCCATCCGTCTGCCCTCCCTTGTCCTGGGAGGGAACCAGAACCTTTCAAAAATGTACATTAAGCTCTGTCATACACATCGGGGGTTACAACCTGGCCTTGGAAAGACAAGGTCTGGTTTTTTGTTCGTTGTTTGTTTTTTTTTTTTTTTTTTGGAGGGGAGGTCACTTGATTAGGATTTGGGGAAATGGAGTGTATTTCTGTGGCTGGGAAGCCTCGGTCACAAAAGACACTCAATTTAATTCCAAGAGACAGGACTGTTCAGTTACAACAGCCCCTCATGGACCCTCCTGACTGTAGCTGGACTGTGTCAGCAGACAAAAAGTTCTTCTGTCTCCAGCGACCTCCTAGGGCTGTCTCTGAATCATGATTTTTCCGTTCTCTTGTTGCCCTGTGCCCATCCCTTTAATATATTCTATTTCCGCACATCATGCTGAAATCTAAAGCTCTGTATAAAAACAAATCATTCATAGATTTCATGACTGTGTAATGATTCTGCATCTCTTCTCCTCCACGTCGCGATGGCAGGCGGTAGGTGTGCCTCGGCTCTATGCTGTGCCTGTTGTCAGAGTGCCCTGCCGTGATCAGAGCGTGCTGCTCGCTGAAGCAGCCTGTGCGGGATGAGAACCCTGCTATCGCTGTCTTGTTGCCGTTTGTCTACATGCAATATTAACTCCAGAACACGTGTTCTCTCCTCCTCTCTATCTCTCCTGGGTTTGGGCTAAAGCTCAGAGCAGGCGGGAGACTTCCTGACCTTCTTTGAGAGTAGTTCTGGGGGAAGAAAGAAACTGGCGAGTCTGAGCAAAACCTCCCCGGAGAAGAAAACCACGTGGAACATCTTGGTGAGGATGGGGATGTCCTGGGGCGGGTGGGCTAAGTCAGCTCTGCTTGCTGGAGGAATTGGCTGGGTTTGGTGGAGGAGTGGGAGGGTTTCCGTAGACCCGAGGATGGGGTGGTGCAGCTCATCTGTGATGGCCGGGCTGGTTCTTCCTCACCCTGCAGTCAAAGCTGGCTTGGTTTGGATGGCCAACGTGCTCGGCCAGTCCTCTGGCCTGCATTGGCCTTGTCTCTGGCCCCAGGCTTTCGGCCCATCACCTCTGTGCTCCTGGCTTTTGGTGGAGGCAGGCAGAGGCGCAGGCAAAGCCTCGAGGCTGCCGTGCTGTGGAACAGAGGTTTCTTGTGTGTGGGAGAAACTGGCTTGTGAAGGAAGAGGGTGGTGTTTGAGGACGTGGGTTTGGCGCTCGCCTGTGCTTATACCTGCTGACTCCATGGCAGGACGATCAGCCGCGAGCGTTCCCGGGCCCCTCCGTCTCCCGTGGCGGTGAGCCACCAGCGGGCATGAGGAGGAAAGAAGCCACGGTGCTCCTGGCAGCCAACTTCACTGC